AAGTGCTTCACATTAGTCAGTGTTGAAAGCGGAAGGCTTAAATATTTAATACTAAAATTGCACCTATCCGTGTGCGTTAAACCTAATGTAATCTCAAGTGACTCGAAATATAAGTTGCTTCCACCAGTTAACCAAGTTATCGTTGATGCACTTTTGCTTGTCAAATTAAGGAAACCCATTCAAAATGATCTATTTTGGCAAAATATATATAAAGAATGTTTCAGTTTCGGGAATTGCAAATACTCTGACAGAAAACATATATCAAAAAACAACCATGTTCCCATTACCGTCGAATTTCACTAAGCAGCACTGACTACTAATTATAGTACAATTCTATGGCATTTGCCCTGTTAAGCAAATGATAACAGGCTACATTTCCGCACCAATAATTGGCAGATAGTTTAAGTGAATGCTCACGAAATGGCTTACTTGCGTTAACAGGTATCCGATTGGGATCTGCTCCATGCCAATCACCGATGGAATTTGGAACCGTTGCTACGCACAGCCAAACACCAACTGTCAATTTTCTCGATAGTCAGACGTGCAGAGATTGTTCATGCGACTACAAGTTAATCAGTCTTTGTAAAATGTTGCATGAGAACACGCAAACCGAGAGTAGCGAGTGAAGTCCTGAGAACTGAACTAAGTCGCGTGGAAAAAGTTTAAATTTGCCATCTACTATTCATTTTACGGTAGGCGGAAAAGAATGATTAACCTGCCAGCTACGGCTCAGTTGAGATTCTCCAGAACTGATATCGTGGACTGCAAATTAGCTGTTCAACATCGAATGAAGTCTACTAAATAGAGGAGCCTTCAAATTCGACGGACGTCCTCCCAAGAATATTACCAAATCATCGACTGCGAATTATGTATTTTATTTTATCGATGAAAGATTGCTTTGCTGATATGTATCATTGGTTGAGCTGGGATATCTTAATATAGTTAGCACTTTTGCGCGGGTATTGCCGACCAAACAGACCCGTCGCAATTGATATCAAAGTGCTGGTTCCAGCCTGCTTTGGGATCGGGCAAACCACGCAGTCTCTTTAGCCCACGGGTGACTGGTGTTCGTTGCACGGCTGCGAAGCGCCCGTATTGCGTGCCTGAGCACTGTGGATGCGCATTTTTACAACCGTCCAAATGTGAAACACATTCCCCTCTCACCCATCAACCGCCTCCCCACCCCCACCACCAACCCCGTTCCGACACCCCAAGTGCTCCGAAGCGCCAGCGAGACTGCTCCACAACTACCACCAGCCGACGCGCGGCGGTCTCCCCAACTGTAGCCCACCCTCCCATCAACACCACCAACTACGATGTCCCGCGAACCTCGTCCCCGCCCTACGCAGGGCTCCAGGCGAGCACCCGGTCCCTCGCTCCACCCACTCCGCCCGCCACCCCGACACGCCCAACATGCACGCACATACCCATCCCCACCCGCTACCCCACTCCCGCTCAACCACCCACCTATTCCCGCTCCCTTCCCTCGCCACGGCACCGCGTGGCGTCGCCGAGTCGGACCACGTCACCCGTAGGGAACCAAACAGATCCCAGTTCGCAGCGACACACGACCCAACCACCGCCGCACCGCACGCGGCCACAAGCGCATCCCCACCTCACCCGCCCACTGAACCCCCCCTGCCCCTCCCGCCATGACCACCACACGTAAAAACTTTTATTTAGTGTCTTCTCTGTGTGCTCCTCCCCCCTCCCTCAGTCTTCCTCCGCTCCTGACTCGGGAAGTCGGCGCTCCGGAGCGCCAACCTGCGCCCCTAGACCTCAGATCCTCCATGCCCCCTCCGCCGACCGCCCTCCGCTTGCCGTACCGGTAGGGCCGTTACATCGGCAGGACCGCCTCCCCGGACGCAGGGCGCCCACGGGCAGCCCATAAACACCCCACCCAACCAACCACCCAACGCGCCCCCCCCCACCGACCCCTCGCCCGCCCTACTCGCGCCCCCCCATCCCACGCCACAACCCCCCCCACCCCTCCCTCCTCCACACCCGCAGCCTAAACTTCCCACCTTAGTTAATTAATTCCGGTTGACAGGTGCACCGCTACGCCTCACAGCTACCATCTCTATAGGTGCCCACGCCCCCCCCGCCCCCCCCTCCCCCACCCCCCGGACCATGTCGTCCACTCCCTCACGCCACTACTCACCCCCCTCCCGCTCATCCCCATAAACCGTTTATTAGGTAATTATCGGAAAGTATTTCCCCTCAGAGGTTCACCCCCACTCGCCCCCACCCCACCACGTCTCCTGTCCTCTCACGTGCACCTGCTATTGTCACCAACCTATCCATCCGATAATTTCCACCTCTAAGTAAATTAAAAGTTGCTTATATGGACCCAGCAACGGTCTTAACCTCAACCCACCTCTCCCCGCCCCCCCCCCGACCCCCCTCTTCACCCCCCACCCGCCCACGCAAGTACGTCAATTAGCTCGACCCGCCGCCCCTCGCCACCCCCACAAACACCTCCCACCCCCGACTACGCGACCACACCGACCAACAACGCGCCGCACCCTCCCTGCGCCGCTCTCCCCCCACGTCGACATCGAACGCTACCCCACGCCACCGCCCGCCCACCGTCCTCCCCCCACGCCCCGTCAACTCTCCCCCTTCCCTATCCGAATTTATCATTCCCACCATCCCGACCCCCCGAACGCTCCCCTCAGGCACTCGACCTACCGCACCCCCCCACCGCACTAAAACCACCTAGAACACCGCCCCGCGAGCTGAATCTGCGAAGTCTGACATCCTCTCCCCACCCGTAACCCCGCCCCTACCCGTCCTATCTATATCACTACCAACCCGATGACACCATCCCGCCCGCCGAGCCCCCCCCAGGCCACCCCACCCCCTCCTCCTCCGCCCGGGAGTTGGTTAGGTTGTGTAATTTATTATCCCCCAGCCCCTAAACACTACAGACCATGCAGCGCCGCCGCCCCCCGCTCCCTAGTCCCCAGACTCTCTCCCAGTCCCCCCGACCAGGCTGCATGCACGAGTACGAACGGGCGACGCCACAGCCTCCAGATCTACCCACTTCACCTCACTCAACGAACATCCACCAACACAAAATCCGCCACCCCAAACATTCCCCGCCAGAAACTCCCAACCAACCCGCCTCGATCCCCCCCCCGCCCCAAAATCCTCTCCCGCCAACCGCCCGAATCTCCGCCGTTACCACCTATCTGAATACCCACCAACGTCACAACGCACGCATCATCTCCACCCTCGACGCCGTGTTAGCTAGCCGACCCCCCCCAACCCCCCCCCCGCGGAGACAGCTTGACGCAATCCCTAAGCCCACCCTCCCGACCTCTGCCATCCACTGCAACATACGACCCCCTCGACGACGCTGCCCCCCAACCTCACCCCCGACCCTCTTTGGTTTTTATCACATCAACGTGTCGGCAGCCACTCTCGTAGTATATTATTATCAGTTATTTAGATTTGGTGTATTATTAAACCCCGCTACCCCACCCCACTCCAACCCACCCCCCCCGCACGTCGTCGGTATTTCATCACCCGCCGTGAATAAACCGACATCTGCATCTAATCACTTCCCCCACCACCACCCCCTGCCGCATCGTGCGACATCCCAGCTTTCGCCGGCGGAAAAACCGCACACCCTCGCCCTACAACCGAGGGTGGTTTGTCGCAATCGTAACACCCCGATAATCGCCCCCAGGCACCCGCCGCTCCACCGTCACACCTCCCACCTCACCCGATCCCCGTCCCTCCTCCCCCCTCCACTCCCTCGCACCTAGCCGCATCCCCTCAGCCGCCATCCCCCAATCGCAATCCGCAACACACGCTCGCGAAATCAACAAGTCTTTCACTACCCGTTCCCCCATAATGACATCCCCCACCTTCCCCCTGCCAGATCTCTATACTCCGGCCCACCCCAACTACGGCATTCAAATCACCCCCCAATGCTAAGCGACCACCCCACCTCAGAACCCCCCCCTCACTCGACCCCCCCCCTACCCCGCCTGCCTACGCCAACCCAACCCCCCCCCCGCGTCCCTCAACCTCCAAAACCTCGACCGCGCTGCTACACTAGAACACAATTCCCATAGCACCCCTCCCCCCTCCCCTCCCACCCGAGCAACCGCCCGACACAAGCCACGAAGAACTGTTGCACTCCCAACCGTTCGCCACACACGTTCGCCCCCCGCACCCCTAACCGCACGTTCCCCCCAGCCCTTCCACGCCGATCCGCCTCCATCCACGGCCCGTCACCCAGCTCCCCTCACCCGCCAACCCCGCAGGCGCACACAACAGCCCCTCATGCAAGTTTCCGCCAGCCAGTGCTGACGCCTATGCCACTCTGTCATACCGCCTCGTCGCTCCGCCCATCCTCATCACCTATATACAAATCCCCCCTCCACCCCTTCCCTCAGTCCCCTGCCCCACCGGCTCAATAGCCCCGCTCAAAATCCCCACGCTACCCCCCCGTTCGTCCAGCCCACGCGCCCGCCTCCAGCAGTACCCCCCATAGTACCTTGCAGCAGCCCCACCTGGAGGTATCGCCGCACCCCCCCACTCACCGTCCACCCCCAACCCCGCACCCACCCCATCAGACCCCCCCGGGAATCGCACACCACTACCCCCCCCCCAAACCTCCCCCCTCAACCGATCATTTCGGCAAAATGTATCTCCCACCCCCCCCCACACGCCACCTAGCAACCACCCCCACAGACCTGGACCCCGACCCGCCACTCGAACCACCACCCACACCCCACACCCCCGCTCACTTCGCCCCCCTGCTCCCACCTCCACGATCCTAGACCCCCAGCACCCCCCCGCCCCCCCAAACACAATACCTCGCCTGCTAGACCCAAATACCTCTTCCCCGGAATAGCCAAACTAACGACAACGCCTCAGCCCATACCCCATAGCCAGGGCCTTACTACATCCGACAAAACCCACCCCTTCCCGGTGGTCTACTCACTACGGGTTAACCTGTCGCCCTATCCCCAACGACACACTTACCTCTGAGTACTGGGTCCTGCGCCTCATAGTGTCCAACCTATCGTTCTTGAACCAGATATAGCCGTTACAAGGCATAATCGGAGATACTAATCCGAGACCCCGGGGCATCGCCCGATAGACCCGATACTCTGCCCCTACGCAGTAAAACAGACCACCCTTCCAACCGTGCTCGAACTCTACCTACTACCTGCACGGTGGTTCCAACCCGTCCCCCGCCACCTCTGCATGCGACCCTGTCCCTCCTGCGCTCTCTTTATCCTCATTTTACTCATTCGCCGCCCCCTTCCTCTCCATACCCCCCCCTCCTCCCTGACACACACCCGCTTCAGCTTCCCTCGCCCCCGACGACCGCCCTGCCAGATCAAATCTATTTAGGGTTATTATAATTAGTCAAAAATAATATTTGTTTTTTGCTGTTGTTGTTTTTATCACTTTTCTTTATTGTGTTTTATAATAACAAAAATGTGTTGTGTATTGGTAGTGGGGGTTGTGTATATACCGCATCGCAAAGATACAATCTGTGTTTGGATTTATAGACATGTTGAGTTACAGGGGGGGGCAGAGTAAAAGCAAATATTATGGTATAATATATATAAAATTTATGTAATCACTGAGTTTAATGAGTATGTAGGTGTCGCGGGTATTTACAGAAATGTGGTCTATAGGAGAGATGACAGAAGGACATCACACAGCGAACACGCTAAACACAATTACAACACAAAGAGCAGTATTTAACAAAGACCCCCCAGAGGAGGGGAAACTCGGAAGGAGACTGTGACAGGTGCTTATTCATCCGAAACACGCATGCAAGACAACAGCGTTGTGGACCGAATCTTCTGCGACTGACTACTCGACTTGCTTCATACCGCCCCATCTGCAGCTCAGGGGCCGACGCCTGACTTTATTGTGCGGACACGCGACCCCCCCCACTGATACGTGCGCGCTTGAGGGCCGGCGGACTTCTTTTGACCTTGGTTCAGGATATCTACCGGGTACGCTGTCATAGCCTCTTCCACACCTTCCTTATCGCCTCTGCTTCCGCACTTCAATCTTTCTAGGTCCCCAGACAGAGCATAAACGTTGTGTGCTCGCAGCCGGCGCGTGCTCAATTCTACTGGCTTAGCTTCCGAGTCTCACTACGCTTTCGTAGGTCCTATGATACCCACTCACTTGCGTCTATGTCACACGAATAACGCCCGAAAGGTGCCATTCGTCTGTACTTACTCCTGGGGTTGGAGAATCTGACGACAAGGACGGCGCTTCGCTCCGCAGGCGATCTAGTACGCACGACTCACGTGGGCCCAAGATGTACGTACGGTGTTGGGTATACCTGCACAAAAATGCCTGGAAGCAAACTACCCGACTGGATCCGCTAATCATCGCATGTGGGCGTTAACCTCAAATCTCTAGTGGGTTACTAGCTCTGTCCTGAAAAGCAAGGCACTCTTCCCTGCACCGCAGTTCTATATGCGCCTAATGATTACAGTCATAGGTATCAAAGACGATTTCTGTCGAGGGGAAATCTCATTTTTTGTCGACGCATAGCGAAATTACCCGAGATAGCCTGAGTGTTATAGGAACATGAAGGCCCAAGGGGTACCGGTCTAAACTCTGAACAACACTTGGAGGGTCCGCATCGGGGGTCCGAAGCACGCCGATAACGGACAATGGGGATCAAGATCGCGCAACTGTGCGTAGCACTAACGCCTCGGTTGAGGGAACAGCCCGAGGTCTATTCTAGCGCAAACCGAAAACGGGTCCGAAGAAATTAATCAGTTAGATGGATGACAATAGATGAGATAAGATGGACACTTAGATCATTCTTAGCACATCGACTAAACGGTTCGGGTGGAAATATATTTTTGTTAGAGAAGTTCAGCAAACCATCGCGCTGCCCTTGCCGGATTGCCCTGAGCCGCAGTGGGAAATAGTGCGTCACAACGCCCATTTTGGAAAGATTCGACATAAGCTTTTCAAGGTGGAAAAACAAACAAAGCTACCTGCATCCCACGACCTTCTTCCATCTTTGCGAAAGATGATGTGACACGATGTATTTACTGCTCAAGGAGCAGCACTATGTGGGACACTAAAGGGGTTGCTTCAGACTGGTGACTCTGGCAACTGTCGGGCCTATCTCTAGAAGAGACTGTTTTGAAGTTGTGCGAAAACCATTCGGGGGATGATGCGTTAGTGTTCAAGTGGGCTCAGAGTCGCACTGAATGCGGTGGATCGGTTCACGTACTTGGTATCTCCGGTCACATCTGGGTGTTACATCACTGAAGGATGTTTACTTCTCGTATTAGCCGTATCCCGTGGTGGTTTCCAGGTGTGCTCGGACCATCCTATGAGACGACCGTGACGGAAGCCAGCAGATGAAAGGTAAGGTGTATAACGCTGCGATAAGGCAGATCTTACTGTATTGATCGGTGGCCTGTGGCTAGGTCGCGGCGGTATAAGACAGGAAACCCTGGGACCTTGGTTGACCATCGGGGCTTGCGGAGAATGGTCCACATCTGGGAGGGAACACACCGAGGATGGAGCACTGCTGAAGTCCGGCCAGTTGGTTTTTTTAAACAAGAAGCCTTTCGATTACCTTACGTGCGTGTTACTGTATCTGGGTCGCTTACGTTGGCTAAGCCATGTCCTCCGTAACCCGATGACGGTCGCCTCGGGGAGCATATACCCGTGGTCGACAACCACGGTTTCGGCGGAATCCGCGAAAGTGACCAGCCAATGACGTGTTGTAGGGCAGGAAGAATCTTAAGAGTGACTTAGTCAGGTGATCTGCGGGCCGGTCTTCGTGATGGGGCTCGGGATGGTCCACACCATTGCCGACACGATGTCAGACATAGCGGGCAGTCAATGAGGCGTTCCGGATCAGCCGGTAGGTGCGGGCATCGGGGTGTGTGATAGTGACTCGGGCGTTCCATCTGACTAGCCTAACGCACCGCCACCTTGCCAGCCAATTTTCGGTGACAGCCGTTGGCTTCACGCGTGTCGAACTGGGCCGTTCTATTCTGTATCTATTCGGGCGTTGTGAATCATGGCAACATGGATTGCCTCCGCAAAATTCGGTGCTTCGGAGTAGTTGTTCGACTGATACTGCGAGATGTCTAATATCGCTCGTTCACAACTAAGGCAGTCTACCGAGGCATCAGTTGCTTCTGTGCACCAGAGAATAATCGAACGTTTCGGCCCTCACTAACAGTTCCCCACTCCGGTGAGGCAGTAAACAGGTGAATGGGGCTGCGGCCTGTCCACTGGAAGCGTGTCTGAGGATCACTGAGTGCACAAAAAAAAACGCACTTTTGAGAATGTTTGGATGACGGGCATCAAGCAGATCGACGGTGTTGGCTATAGGTAATCCGTTGCATCCAACACCGTGATAAAGCTGTACAAACGTAGACAGACGACATTCTAACCTACAATCTAGGAAAATTATTTCAGCCGCTGATACTTGAAGAACTTCCACAACCCTAACCTCGATGTATCAATAAGGTCGAACAACAGACTAGCCTGTCCCTTTGTCGGACGGGTTCCATCGAGGAGACGGCCTGACTTGCACTTCAGCGCCGGGTCTAACCTACGCAAAATCACCTGAGATGGCAATATTTGGTGCATTCATTCGATAAGGGCGCCCCCGGTCACGTACAAACGCACGGCTTCGTGAAAACACCGGTCATCCTCCAGGGCCAGAAGATTTGGGCAGCCCTAACCTGCTAAGGGCTGGCTAGCGGAAATCCCAAGAAAATGGTATCCTTTGTCCTCTGATAAACCCCAAGAAAGTTGTCAACGCTAATGAGAAAGTAAGAAAAAATGTCTGCTGGTGGGGATTAGAGTACCGGTCTATGCCGACCAAGGAGGATCAGGTTGGAATGACGGTGAAAGTTTCAAGAGCAGTTCGGGTTCTGTCGTGCGTCTACACAACCGCTCATCTATCGTACGACGCAGCTACACCAACAAGGATTTGTCACGCCCAGTCCGTTCAGAGAACGCAAACTGCAGTTCGGTCGCACGTTTCACTATTTCACTTGCAAGCGCGACCGATACCCACATAGGCGAGAGGCGCCCCGTCTCGACTGATCTAATAGGAATGTCCCTGAAGATTGAGAGGATTGGGCTGCTCGCTGTGGCAAGGCCCAATGAGTGCGGAACCCCGCGTCGTCCTGCCGACTATAGAATTTTATGGACACCCAATCAGGTATGTCCGACGTGCATTTCGGTGCCATAAGTGTGCTTATCACAGTAACCGTACAATCGGAAACTTCTAGGGCGATAGTGAAGGTCCGTTGTGGTGCGCACAGAAACTACTATGCAATAGATAAGGCAGTCCGTAGATTGAGCAACAATAATTCGCCAGTACTCCACTAAGCGTACACGCATTATGACTCTTACCTATTTCACTGTGTACGTGTTCATGTTGGGCGTATTGGGCTAAGAACTGAATGAAGAGAAACCGAATCTGCTTACCACGTCGCAAAGGGGATCTTCTGTATCCGCACCAATGACCGTGCCGGCCCAACCGTCCCTAGCCTGACCGTTTGGCGGTTAAACCATGTCCTGGTAGAAGGGAATGCAGTTCATAGGCAGGAGTTAAAATCAACGATGGGATCGCGGACAAGGAAGTGTGCGGTGGAGAGAGGGAGGGCAAACGATTCACGTCGCCCAAATGACAGAAATAACAAAGGAGGTCAAACGACGCGGGAAATTCGACGAGAAACGAAAATAAGAAGGAATGTGATCAATACATAAGTGCTTAAACTTATCGGAATGGGAATGAAACTAATCGCGCCCAAAACAAGAAACCGAAACGCAGAACGTCACTGACGGCTACACCAATGTTCCTGATAAAGGGCAAAAAGCACCGAGGGTGTTGACGCAGTCCAACGCGCGCCCCCATCCACGACGACGACACGCATCAGCCTGACGAGCTCCAGCCACTTGGCATGAGGGGTCCCGTTGTTGTGGCCACGCCATCCGAATGGCAATCGCGCGATTTTTTTTTTCCGGCCCAACTTGGTTGCAGCGATGGTGTATAGTACACGTCGATGAAGTCGACTCAAAAAACGTAGATGCGTTAGACAGGGATCAACCCCGATCTTAGTGTA